GGGATCATCAACATTAAGAAGGGAGTGCTGTTTCTCGAGGGCAGGAAATTTCCCATAAAGTTGATATCCGACCCACCTGAAGGGCACCAAAGCTCTCACGTCCGGATACGGAGGACAGCATGTGTACCGCCTAACACTATTGCCAAAGTATCAGTTCAACTAGATAAACCATTATCAAGTGACTATGTTGTTTTCCCTTACATCTAAAATGTAATGTTCTTGGATCTCATACCCTTGGGAGCGGCTCTACCACAACTTTGAGCTTCATTAACGACTCGAATACATCCGTCAAGATCAAAGAGGGTACTGTGGTTGGGGAAGCTGAGGCTTATGCTGAAATATGTTCAAATGAGAGTGATGCTCTTCTCATTAGGAGGAACCAGAAATATGAATCTGATGATAAGTTACCAGAACATCTGACAGATCTGTACGATAGATCAACTTCGGGTCTTAGCGACAAGGAGAGGCATCATGTCAAACAGCTGCTAGTGGATTATCAGGACATATTTTCAAAGCATGATTTGGATTTGGGCTGTCTAACCTCAGTTACGCACAGAATAGACACCAAAGATAATCCACCTGTCAAGCATAAGATGAGGAGAACACCACTTGGTTTCCAGGATCAAGAAAAGGCACAACTAAACAAAATTCTAGATGCTGGTGTCATACAACCTTCCAGCTTGAATTGGGCGTCAGCACCAGTGCTCGTTAGAAAGAAAGATGGGTCCATGAGGTGGTGTGTAGACTACCGGGCACTTAATAAAAAAACAGTGAAAGATTGCTATCCACCGCTAATTATTGAGGACTGCTTAGACACACTTCAAGGAACTGAATATTTTGCTACCCTTGATATGGCCTCTTGTTACTACCAAATAATGATAGATGAGGAGGATAGGCACAAGACTGCTTTTATTACTCGTTATGGACTCTTTGAACACACCCGTATGGGGATGGGGCTATGCAATGCTCCTGCCACCTTCCAGAGGGCAATGCAACTAGTGCTTCGGGGTTTAACATGGACTCAAGTCTTGGTCTACCTAGATGATGTAGTAGTACTAGGTCGCAACTTTGAGGACAGTCTTCAAAATCTCAGGAAAACCTTTGACAGATTCAGGCAATATAATTTGAAGCTTAAGCCTAGAAAGTGTGTATTGTTTAAAAAGGAAGTAGAATTTCTGGGGAAAGTAGTCAGTAGTAAAGGCGTATCAATCGCGCCGTCGAAAACAGAAGCTGTTAGGAACTGGCCCACACCCACTAGTACCACTGAGTTGCTCTCTTTCTTGGGATTTCTAAATTACCATAGAGATCACATCCAGCACTACGCTGATATCTGTGCAATCCTGTACGACTTGGCAAATACGAAGGAAAGATGGACCTGGGACACTGTGCACCAAGAAGCATTTGAGAAGGCTAAGATGGCTCTATGTTCAGCACCTTGTTTGTCGTACCCTGACCCTGAAGGACTCTTCATCTTGGACACAGATGCCTCCGATAGGACCATTGGTGCCGTCCTATTACAGATACAGGAGGGCAAAGAAAAAGTAATTTGTTATGCAAGCCATGTACTCCTAAAGCCTCAACGCAAGTACTGCACGACTAGAAAAGAACTTTTGGCTGTAGTGAAGTTCTGCAGGCACTTTAGACACTACCTAATAGGGCGTCGGTTTCTCTTGCGCACAGATCATAACAGTCTTGTGTGGCTTATGCGATTTAAACACATATTGTCCATAGACCTGGCAAAAAGCATACAAATGTAGATGGAATGAGTCGCTTGCAGGACAATATTGCAGAGTATGACTGTTATAATGCAGGAGCAAACGTTGAAGATCTTCCTTGCGGTGGCTGCCATTATTTCCAGAGAGCACACTTACAATGGGGACGGTTCATTGAGGATGTAGATGTAGATCTATCAAGTCGATCATCTTTGTCTCCAGGATCCGTACTAAAAGTGAGGACAGTAATGCAACTAGATAAACAGCCTGGGCAAGGTGATTCCTCTGTGTGCAACTGGGCAGTTGGAAGTTCGCCATCTGAAGTACGATCAATGCAGGAAGAAGACAAAGATTTAAGTCCAATCATTAAGTGGCTGGAGAACGATATTGAGCCCAAGCAGTCAGAGCTCCGTTTACAGAGCCCAGGTACTCGGACACTGTGGATGAGTAGAAAGGATTTGCAGTTTATAGGCAGGCTTTTATATTACAGATGGGATGGAAAGGCAAACAGAAGTCTCTGCCTCCTTGTGCCAAAAGGACTACAGCGTTCAGTTTTACATGGTTGTCATGATATAAAGACCTCTGGCCATTTAGGCCAACAGAAGACTCTCGAGCGTCTTAAGCAAAATTATATGTGGTACAATATGTCCAGGGACTGCACAGATTATGTTGCCTCCTGCCAAACTTGCAATCCAAACAAAAAACCTAATGTGAGGCCGAAGGCTTCCTTAGGTCAGTATCATGCCGGTTTTCCCATGGAGCGTGTTCATTTGGATATCCTGGGACCATTTCATACAAGTGAGGATGGTAATAACTATGTACTGATGATGATTGATCAGTTTACCAAGTGGGTGGAGATGGCAGCCCTCCCTGACCAGTGTTCACTCTCTGTAGCACAGAAATTCTTAGTGCATTTTGTTGTCACATTCGGATGTCCCTTAGAAGTGCATACTGATCAAGGAAAGAATTTTGACAGCAATTTGTTTAAGGCCTTGTGTGAGACTCTACAAATAGCCAAAACACGGACTACACCCTACCATCCTTCATCAAATGGGCAGATAGAACGATACAACACCACTGTTCTCCAGATGATAAGATGTTACATAGAGAAAAATGATAAAAACTGGGATAGAGATCTCCCTCTCCTAGCAATGGCCCTTCACTCCACTATTCATCGTCAGACAGGTTATACCCCAAACCGCCTTATGCTTGGTCGAGAGGTTATTCAACCTGTCCATTTAATTTTCTTACTGGAAATATCCCAGATGGTCTTGACACTCAGGAGCCAAGTGATTGGTGCACTGACCTTGCAGCTCGTATCTCCAAGGCCCACTATGATGCACGTCAAAATATACAAATGGCCCAACTTCGTCAGAAAAGGGACTATGACCTTAGATTGTGTGAGAATCACTATAGTCCCGGAGATATTGTGTATAAGTTGGACTCGACAACTAAAATTGGTCAATCATCCAAACTCAGACCTCCATGGACAGGGCCCTATCTGGTAGTCTCATGTGATGCGCCACTTTACACTCTCAGGGATCAGAAAAAAGAGCATGTGCTACATCATGATCGGTTAAAACTGTGCAAAGACCGGGATATCCCCATGTGGTTACGAAGGCTGCGTCACCAGTATTTTCAGGATAATACATCAAGCACTATTTCTAAGGATCCAGGTTTTAGTATGGTTCAGGAATTCAAGGGACAGGATCCAGACGAAGATCTCACTGAATCAATAGAAAGTCAGGACCACAATGGAGCTTCGGATGATAACGAGCCTCTTGTGCTACCCAAGGTTGCTGTACAAACAAGACATGGAAGGAATATTAATCCTCCATCCAAGTACAAAGACTTTGTATAGAGTCATTATTTTGTACATAAGCCAATGTATATATCTCTTTCTATATTTCTTTTTCTCAGTTTTCTTTCTGGAAATAGCCAGTGGTCCTTAAATTCAGTGTACGATATTGTTATTTGTATAAGCGATTATATTTGTAGACTGCAAGAATAATGGAGGAAGATTTGTGGGATGTAAATTTTGTCCCTGACTATGACCCTTCATCTGAGAGTCAGTCGGAGGAGTGGATAACTCTGGATGAGGTGATGTTTGACACTAGCATCCCGGGAGATACCGGTACACAGGATGCGAACAAAGAGGGGCAGTCACCTACAGCATCTTCCACAGAAGATACCAGGACAGTAGTGCTTGGGGCTTTATGCTCTGGTAGTACTGGTCCACGAGCCGGGAAGTACAGCTGCCCTATCTGTGGTACCAAGCTCAGTGGACATGTAAAACGACATGTATTGCGGACTCATTTGCCATGGTTTTGGGTTGGGACACTTGCTTGCTGGGAATGCCGTCAATTAGAGGGATCAACCCTTAGTCTGGCAGTCAAGCACACCCTTGCCCACAAAGGTCAACAGAGGTTGTTTGATGACGAGAACCTCCATGAGTGGTGCCAGCTCTTTAATGGGTCCCCTCACTTGTTAAAAGAGTGGCTCGGACTGGACAGTTTGGAGTGTTTGCGCCAGTTTGCATCGTCAAACCTGTATGACAGTGTAGTGGGAGAATTTAATACACAGGAGACGCAGTTGATGACTTTCTACTCTACCCATTACAGTGAACACCGAGTCGCCCAGTTTAAGCTTAAACCATTGAACCATGTAGCATGTTTTCTGCATTGGCAGGCTGTTGGTACCCTACTGAAGGGCTTGAGTATGGAGCAGCAGGAAATGTTCAGGCAGCATCAACAGCGACTTTTGGCGAATGGCATGACCATTGATAGACCCTTTACTATAGCAGGGAACCCCGTCATGGCCAGGATTGTCGACAGTCATTTCCACCTCGACCAAATTCTGCGCCGGACCAACTTCAAGACCTGGTTTGAACTAGAGCAGCAGTTCGGTGGAAGGGTTCAGGTGCTACATGCCGTAGCTAACTATGTCTTTCCCCGTCAATGGGAATCTTGGCAGGAACACATATTAGATGCCAAAAACATATCAGTCTCCTTTGGTATCCACCCACATGTTGCTGACCTGGCAGAGCAGTACCTTGACAAGCTCATGGACTTAGTAACACACCAGCGTTGTGTAGCCATCGGGGAGGTTGGGATTGATCTCACCAACTGCAGATGTAACCCCTGTGTGAGGCCAGAGGCATGTAGGGAGCGTTTGCTGCAGGACCAACAGGACATTTTAGCAGATGTCCTTAACTTGGCAAGAGATGTCGGTTAGCCTGTAATTCTACACTGCAGGGATGATGGATCCGGTGAGGCAGCCAAACGCACCATGGCCATGATCCGTATGATGGACATGACACACCATGCTTTCCATCGACATTGCTTCACAGGTTCTGTGGAGGAGCTACGCCAGTGGGAGATGGAATTGCCTGCAGTGAAATTTGGCGTCACAATGAGATCAGCGCAGGACCCAAATCTGGTGGCCAGGATCCCAGTTGAGCGCTTGTTGTTGGAGACAGATGCTCCATATTTATTACCAGCTCCTGGATGCAAGATGAACCACCCCTGGAACCTAGCATCTCTTGCTGCACAGGTTGCTTCTATCCGCAACACGCCAGTTTCATTTATCCTGGAGACATGTAACAACAATGCCAGGCAGTTCTACAGATTATAATTTTTTTTCTTTCTCATCATGTTCATCAGTTATATAGTGTATTTTCTATATATGTATATATTAATTACTTCAGAAAAAGTAATTTTTGTTATGCAAGTGTATAAATGCATTGTATATTTTTCATGACTACTCAACATTTTTCTTACAACATGTATATGTGAAGGGATTATGTCTCTCACCGGTACTTTGTTGACAAGTAGTCATGATTGGGCAGTATTTGTATGTATATTTTTGTACTTTTGCTCAAGTTGACATTTAGATGATTTTGTACAATATTGGGGGTGGATTTTTCAAATATAATTACTGATTGATAAAATTCGCCAATGGATACCCTTGGCTCTACAAGGAGGGGAGGAGTGTGGTACCACAGCCCGACTCATCCGTGTACGACCTATCTCGACTAACATTGATCTCCCTGACCTCCATCTTGCCAGACGTCTGCTAGACATAGCCTGTCTTATCGACCTAATCTGGAGGGATTTGTCAGGTAATTCGTCGACCATTACGACAATACGAATACACTTCCCCAAAATAAAACCTGCCTTAATGTCCTATAACAAAAACTTTAATCATAGTGCAAATTAGTTATAGATCATGTGCTGTATGAAAAGTACCAAAAAAGAGACAAGTTTATTTCAAAGGATTCTATTTCTATTACCAATCATGCGATTCTAAAGAATAAATAGTTATAGGTACCGCATAAATCAAGCTCGCAAAATATTGTTGACTACGCAGCAGGCACACAACGTTGTTTAAACGTTGAATATTAGTTGAAGCTGGGCTTAGACGTTGATAAATCTAGATACAATATTGATTCAACGTTGACTTTTCAACGTTGAAAATTTAACGTTGAATCAACATTGAATTCAAATTGAGTGCCAACATTGATTCAACGTCGGATGACCAATCCTATTTTTCGCTGATAGATAATTTGGACTGTGATAGTGTCGGACTATAACAGTGTCGAACCATAACGAGGTCGGACTTGACAAAGTCGCACTATTATCATTACTAACTATTATAACAAACAAGATTGGTAAATATAGGAATTTTACACATTCAATGATAAATATGAATTCAGTACGAATTTGCCAAAGTATGAATTAAGAGCATACGCAGTAGGACATCCGAAAAATATTCAAAAAGACAACATAACACAACCCTCAGGACTCAACACCAAGATTTAATAAAAAAAATTACTCTTTAAAGAAAATATTTCGGCATGTCAGAGTACTAGTATCATTGAGGAGACATAATTTGTCGAAATGCATATCTGGTGCATCAAAAGTTGTACCGTATAAGATTTGCATCTTACCTTGGAATGGTTTCATGTTCTGGACTATTTCATGACCACATGTGAAAATACAAAACGTTTGTAAATGCTCGGGTTTTGTAACATGATTAATTTATAAAATGTATTTTGGTGAAAATTATTGTAACACAATTAACTATTGATAGGAAATTAAACACTTACTGTTTACAATATATAATTTTTTTTTCATATAGTGATATACCGTATGTTTTCATTTAAGGGGTCCCGACCCTCTGCTATAAATTTCACCTTAGAAAGTTTTAAATTTGTAATATTGATTTTCATAAACAACAATAACATTAGAGCCACATGAAAAATAGTTTGAAATATAAAGCGCTGCTTATTTTTTCAGAAATTATTTTTATGTGCAGATCATGAAATGAAGAAATTGAACACAGAGAATAGAAAGAGTACCGATTTATTACCACAACATTAAATATAATATATGAGGTGCATATAATAATATAATAATAATAATAATTACTATTATATCTATTTAAATCATGTTAGAAAACATCATGGAGCGATGTTTCCTTAGTCAGCAAATCACAATGTTGTATGTGGTTGTAAGAAAAAAAATATATCTGTGATGAGGAGTTATCTTATTTTTTAATATTTCTTCATGTGAAAAAAAGTCATTCTAATTGAAATACTGTATTAAGTACTTGAAATATTAAACCATTTTTAAAATGGTACTTAAAAAGATACAACTTATTCAATTTATAAGGCATTTGATGTTGGATTTAAATGTTTTATTGTTAAATATAATAAAACAATTACAAAGAAATTTGCAAAAGAAATAGAAAGTAGTGTTTCCAACATATATTTTATCTCCTCAAATTGACTACTCAGAGGTCTCAGGAAACTGATTAAGAAAACTGTGAGTAGTATTACTATTTTGTACTGTGAAAGTTACCTGTCTTATCAGAGGGTCGCTATCCCTTCAACAATTATGAAGGCATTTTAGCAACCATGCAATAAAACGGTTGAAATTTTAAGTAAGTATATTAATTATTACTATATGACACCCCCCCTTTCCAAAATAAATAATTGAATAAATAATCAACTGTTTTTCAACATATAATCAACGTTGATTATCAATGTTGATTCAATGTTAAGACTTCAACGTTGATACAAATTTTCAAAATCTAACATAAAATCAGTGTTGAATCAACATAGAAAAACAACGTTGATTCAAAGTTTATTCAATGTTTTGTGCCTGCTGGGTATATGTTCAGTTTTCCTGGTGTTCTTCATATACAACAGAAATATACAACAGAAATGCCAGAAAAAATCAGAATTTAGAGATTATATGATAATTTTAGCTTGAATTCTGATCGTTATCTTTTTTTTCAAAGAGTTCTTTTTAATTGGCAAGCTACAGATAACCTAAAACACTTCAAAACTTTCAGCTTCTTTTACAGACTAGTGGTAGAGCGTTCGCTTCGTGATCGGGAGGCCCGGGTTCGATTCTCGTCCGCGGTGCCGCGTCAAACCAAAGACGTAAACATAAGTATTGACTGTTCCTCCGCTAAACGCTTGGCATTAGAAGTGAAAGTCACGGGATTTTGCGGATATGACCTTAAAAACGTAGGTCCAGTGTCACAGTAGGCGTTGGCACGATAAAAAACCCTGAATGCTCAATGGCCCTGGTGCCGAGAATAAGTCTAAACTTGAAGCCCTTCACCGGCATACGGTGAAGTCTCAACATGAGTGAAAAATGTTCGAGTAAGACGTTAAACAACATACAATCAATCTATCAATCTTCTGCAGACATTTATTTAACATCAAAAGCCTGCAAATAAACACCTGTTAAACAATTTTTATAGCTCATCATAAGTGGGCTTGACCAAAATTGCTTAAACCGCACTATATTTAGATATTTCAAACAATGCCTTTTCATTTATATGTTTATCAATCAGGCCGGAAAGTTACACATACTTGACGAAAATATAAGTGAAAATAATTGAAATAATATCCCTACTACTTAACTGTATGAAAGAAATAATGGGGACTGGCTTCTACGTATTTCCTTCCTAATACTCCCAATTCCTCGTTCATTTGGTTCAAATTAAGTAGGATTGAAAGTTTAGCAAATATTATAATTTTGAGAAAATAGAGAAAAAATTTGTTTACAAAACTCGGAGGTGTTGCTAAATCATTAGGAAAGCTTCTGTTTCAATCCATGCATTTACATCCGAAAAAGAAATCATGCAATGAATTCAAACAGTGAGAAATACTGGCTCATCCCCGTGATGAAAAATAAAAAAAGAAGACAAGCTTATATATAGAATATATAATTTTGTATGTTATTGGCCTTCTATCAACCATCAATGAATCAATAAATGTTCATTAGTTGTATCCAATCCGACTTGATCCCCAGTTTGTAAATATCCTCGATGAATTTCCGACAATTTGATTGATTATATGTTGTTTTATGTCCCATTGGAGAATTTTTTCAATCATGTAGAGACGTCACGTCACCATATACCGGTGAAAAGCTTCAAATTTTGACCGTTACTGGGCACTCTGGGCCATTGAGCAGTGAGGGTTTTCATCGTGACAACGCCAGCAGTAACACGGGGCATCGGTTGATACGGTCTCGGTCGAAGGACCCGAGACCTTCACTTTGAGTGCCGAGCACATGGCGATTTAACAGTTGCTACCATTTTTATAGACCTAAGTCAGTCGCTGCCGTGATTCAAACTCAAGACCAATACGGAGCGAGTGCGCTACCGACTAAACAACCGTGAACAAGAAGACAGAGGGTTCTATGTAGTTAGGAAACATACGTTTGGAAAGAAAAGACGTTGTTAGATTTCAGTGAAGAAACAGGAAATTATGCAGCAAGCATCGTTTCATTATTTGTAAACAAGGAAGGCTAATGCTAGACGTTAAGTGAAATCCTCCCTATGTATGAATAAAAGGCTCTGGACAAAAAGGGAAAGTAACACCGCAATGGTTCACCTGATAAACGACATCCCAATCGGTAATCAGCGTGAACTTAAGAGCATTTTAAACACTTCGGTATATTTAAGGATGTACAACACACCTACCCCAAAAAATTCCTGTCGTTTAATTTTCGTTATTTTTGTATATTTAGTACATGACTATATCTACTGCAGGTATGCACATTTTGGACAAAATCGTTCGAGTGGTTTTTGGACAGGAACTTCCAAAAGTTACCCCCCTTTAGTTGTTTACAAGGAGAGAAAATTTTTAATCAATGAACTACTTAAACCTTGATTTTCAAAAAAGCCAGGTTAGATATAAATGTCAAATTTCATTGGCTTATTCCTTTAACCATTTAACACAAAAACATAGTCATCTTTTTGATATAAATATCATCAAAATAATTTTTAAAGACCTTAAACTGAAAAACTATGAATTATCTAAGCCTTGAAAATTGCGTATTTTTCAAATTGAAAATTTTTTTTGTGAAAAAACTTGTCGTTTAATTTTGGTAAAAAACTTTATTTAGGTAGCTGGTAGTAAAAATAATCTTCATAATTTTTTGTATAATTTTTGTACGACCAGTTTTGATTTAATAGCGGAAAATTACCCCCTCCCCCTTTCTCAATAAATCACATTCCCGCGCGTCTTTCAGACCGGGGTCGATCACTTTGTTATATGAATCCACAAATACACATTAAAAAAATTAAATTGGAATACTGCTTTTGCTTCAAAAATATATTAACTTACGAATTTAAAAGTTTTCATATGTAAAGCGTATTTAAATGTAGATTTTTAGGCAATTTTTGAGTACCCCTATCACCCCCACCCCTTCCTTTTTTGCGTCGCAGACCATTAGCGTTTGACGAAACGTCGTTTACAGTGCAAATATACTGGTATTTCGTCATTTAAATCCCGGAGGTATGCATGCATTAATTTTTAAATTCATGAATGCAGAATAAATAAATATTGACTACTCTTTTTATATGTATTAATCAGGAAAAAATTACTGAAGGATTTTAGTGTTTAGTCCATATATGTATGCGTTATGCATTCCATATCACATGAAACCTGGATACGAATTCAAGTTTTGTTGAACTTGAATATGTTGATTTTTAATTTTATTTCTTTAATTTTATTCATTAAAAAATGGTGTGTGTTCAACTCTCTTGTGATATAAATGGAATAATTGTAGTTTCTTTCATGTCATTATTTCAAACGAGACAGTATGTGGCCGTGGGGATACATCGACATTTGCATAGATGTAAACCCCTCATGATATTGTACGCATTTCTTTCAATGTCGTCGCTTCTAAAGTTAAAAAAAAAATTCCGTATTCGTCTACATTAACTTCAAAATATCAAACATTAAACTCTTCATCTATTTCAATTTATATCAAATCGCACTTTGATATTTTTCAAAATCTTATAAGCAACGTTTTGTTTTGATTCGAGGAAATGCGAACAGACATTGTACAGAAAGTCAAACGATTTGCTGCAATAGGATATTCATAAATGCAGATAATTTCAGTACAAGTTAACAATTCTTTTCAATTCTATACTTACATTGTGTATATGAGGTCTATTGTATTCAATTCTCGGATTTATCAGGTCTTGCTGTAAATGTATCTCATTCTGTGGAAAACCGTGAATAAAGGGAGGAAAATAAACATCTCCTACATTTTCAGAGTTGTTCCTCTTTGATCAGTAAGGGTCTGAGAACAACATCGATTTTACATTGTAAAAAGATTTTTTTGTTTATTTATTGTTGTTTTATTTAGTTAAAGAAGAAAAACAATATTTATATCGTAAATGCACAAATTGTAATGAAGACCATTAATCGGAATGTTATATAGCCAATTGTACATAATGAGAATTTCGGCAATGTAAAATAAAATTTTCAGAATAAAAAAAAAATGCTGCGCTTTGATCAAAAATACAATTTATTGTATATGAAATGAAATGAAATAAACATTAAGGGATGGTATTTTATGTCTTGCTTTTTACGGAGTTTAATCGGGTTAATTAAAAAATACTTATTGATTGAGTATGATACGCACAATTACAGCCAAGCCCCATATCCCAATTTTCTTTCATGATTGATATACATCGGGATCGTTTTACTCGTCGTTTTGACGCTTTATTTTTGACGTTAAATTTGACGTCACGTCAAACGTTCAATTGAAATCGCAAGAGTTATCTCCCCCGGTGTGTTGTACGTCTTTAAACTTCTAATAATTATTTTATGTTTTGTTCAATTTTATTGCGTAGTCTCAAATAAAGAAACAACTGAAGGGCAGATGATACAAACAAACTTTTATTATAAAATTAAAAATAACAACTTGAGTCATATTTAAATGAGTAAAATGAACAAGGTTCACAACGTAGTTTATTCTCTCAAAAATTCCCCAATGTTCGGATCTGAAAGGAAACTACTTGTATAGATTAAAAAGGATGATCGCAGAGAGTAAGAATTTTGAACACCACAGAAGGTTTATAATTTCTAAACATTTAAGAAAGTTATTGGCAATTAAGAAAGTTGTTGTTTGTATCATTTGCAACAAAAATGGACCCCAAAATATATGCTTATCCAGGCATCCATTGTTGGTATGTTTCATCTGTCCTAAATTTATTTCACATCATTTTATTAATTTTTAACATGATGATTTCTGAATTGAGAATCTTTCCTGAAAGAAAATAAATGGTAAAATAAAAACTTGCCCTTTGAGATAGAATGTAAGTCGTCATGGATATTGTCTATCTACAGAGAAATATTAAACTAGACATAAAACGGAGACTTAAACGACATTATCAAGAAAAGAATGAAAAAGAACAACAATAAAATGTTACATTAGCATCTGCAGAATCTGAAGAAATGTTTTATCTGTTTTGCAAACATATTGTCCAGGAAAGCGTATATGAAAGGATTAGTAATATTGTTTATGATGTACATTCTGTACACAAACAAGACCCCAGCTCTAGCGGAGTCCGAGAATTCCTCCCAAAATTTGGGATTCCTGGCTTCTAGCAGCATAATAATGACCTTTGGGATATAGCAGATGAGGAAAATGACTGTGATTAGCATGAACATCAGAGTGAATTTGTAGACAACTTTACGGTTGTCTTTCTCCTTTCTTTTCTTTGCACTGGACTTGAAGGGAACTGTTTTTCTTACAGTGGGTGTTGTATCGATGGTAGGGGGCGTTCCTGTTGCTGTAGAAGAAGTTGGAGCAGGTTGAATGCTAGACAGTCCGATGTCTTCGGTCCCATTTTCTGTATCACTCAGTGGGTTATCACTACTTGAGACTCCAACTTGAGATTGATCGGTCTTACTGGCGTGTTCTGTCCCAAAGTTGTTACTTGTCTTCGTATACTTGAAATGCTTAAGAATAGTGTATCCTATCTTGGTATAAAGACAAATAAGAGTAATAATGATTGTTATAGCTGCCAAGACTAGAATTCCTCCAAAAATCAAAGACCCAGTTTTGTTGACGGTCTTCAGTCTGCTGCATCTTAAACCAGTTATGCCCTCTGCATCATTGGGAAAGGGTACGGAACCATAAAAATGAGTCATGGGCACAGATAAGGTGAACGCTGTTATTAACGCAATACACATCGCAACTCTTTTCCACTTTAATGTCATCTGCTTGCAAAGAGGCTTGCAGACCTTCCGATATCTGTGCACAGCAATTATCAATAGAATAAAAAGAGAACAAAAAGTTGTAAAAGCTGCGAAGAACCACCACGCTTTACACAAATCTGTGTTATTAAACTGGGCTTGCATCATGTTAAGAGCAATACCGAATGAACCGCATACAAAGGAGGCCCACAAATCTGCAAAGGCAAGAAATGGGATAAAATACCTTTCTTCTTTGTTGCCTTTCATTTTAAATCCATAAATTAGAATGACGACAGAATTTCCCACCAGTCCTATAATAATATACAGAGAGAGGATCACATTATTCGGAGTTAACCCTTTGGCTAGTTTACTATTCCACTTTTCAAGTTTCTCGGATAAATATGTGTCGTTATCCATTTCTCCTATATGATTTTAATGAGAGCTTCCTGGTTCACGATATTTTATTCTATTCAGTTATTCATTGTTATGTATGCATGCACCGTTTGCATTGTGTTTGTCACGTGCAGTTACTCAAAAGTAAGGGTTTCAATCAAATAATACGTGCGTTATATATACATGCATGTGTGGTACAGGATGATATTCATATAAGGCTTTATTGTGAATGATGCAAAATACTGATCTACGTAAATGTTTCCCACAAAAAAAGTAAAATAGTAATCGACTAAAACAAGAAAGTTTCTGATGTAAGTAATTATAATATAATTAATTGACAATAATTAGTTAATTAATTTGTAAAATTTATTACAGTGAGGAGAGTGAGTAAACAAAAAGGTGGATTGTCTTATGCTTAAAAACGTTCACCTTAAAAACATTGGTATTTTTTTCCCTCTGTTAAACAGGTGCTAGTAGGTTTGTTAGTGGCGAAGGTCTGTACATAATGCACAGTTTTCCTTCCAATCATTCTAATAAATGCCCCTCTTGTTATATTTTAATTGTTTTATTGTGTTTGGAAGATTAAAGACAATGAATATTGTTTTACAGTTAAAAATGTCCCTTGTGAGGTCAACCTTATAGAATATGCACCCCAGACCTCGCCCATGAGTCAGGTAAGGGAATGGTACAGTGTCCTGATACATATACCACGATATTACATTTATTCGCCAGGGGATTCTTACCTCCTCTAGGTACCTTATCTCATCTCTGGACTTTCTAGGAATCGGTGTTTACATGTATGTCCTGTTCGAAACATTTAAATTTTAAGAATTCTTAAATCGATTTCTTTTCATTACTTATCCCTCTTTATCTAGGTTATGCAATTTGAATGAAAAAAAAACGTATCAAGAAGACAGCAATGACAGATCTTATTCACAGCGTAAAAACAAATGTCTACTTCATAGTATTCATTTGGTATTAATACGACCAGAAATTCGTCTGAAATCTTGTTTTGAAACGCTTATTTTTGTGTCCTTAAATTTTTGTTGTTTTCTTGATTGGAAAACAAACATTTTTGTGAATTTTTAAAATTAATTGTCTTCACATTTTTCCATATGCCCAAACAAGGCGGACATGCTCAGTCGACAGTGCATGCTTAGGCCTCCATTGATATGATCCCACCTCTGATGGTTTAAGAGGTCTGTGTTTGCTCTGCCAGTGATTTGTGTTGTTTCATAACATTTGAGCTTGATTACTGTTCCCCTTATTTCATCAATAGAATTTTTCACTCCTTGATGTTGATGTTTTTCTTGATGTTTTTCACTCCTCACTGTTGAATTCTGAACAGATTTATTCTTAATTTGTCACTTAAACCACGTGAACCCCTTAAATGAATAATTTACTACAATTCTTAAAGTCACAGTTATCGGAACTTTACTAAGAGCTTTGAAATGAATTCAAAACATTCTTTGACATTTGTAAGTTATGAACACCAGTAAGGCTTTTTTTTTTAATTTATATTTTTCTCATAATAAACAAAGAGGTAATAGCTGAACATATTTACATTTATGAAGACAAGTAAAGTTAATTTGAAAAGTGCATTTCTCTTGTTGCAAACTTGTTCAGAAAGGACACGGAGAAAAAGGTATAATAATTTAAAAGACATAAAACACTGGCGGTATTAATTTGTTTTTCCCTTTGAGGTCTACGATTTCTTTTGTAAATATTTCTTTCTTCCTTGTTTTAAAATTAAATTTTTTTTTTCAAATGGTTTCCATCTTGAGAAGGGAATTGTTGCATAGAAAATTAAAGAATCACACAGATAAAGAAGATACTGAAGTTCTATCCCAAAATTTTAAAATCTTTCACTAATTTACCATTATAATTATTTTCCTCCTTTTTCAGATTTGTTAGAAATACCCGAGTCCAAGTTGTTAAAAAAGACTTGTACAGAAGAATTATAAAATCAAATTACAAATGGCTTCTTCGACGGATTTTGTATGTTATTTCACGATCATGACAAAAAGCACAGGGCGGATGAAACCAGTCGTCAGAGGATGCGCACACCTCCAGTGCACCTGATCTCACCAATGATGTTTTGAGGGTCCATGTTGGCTCTGCTCTAATTTAGATTGTTTAATTGAATTTTGATCTTGAATATTGTTCGTTATCTCCATATATTTTATTCTGAAATTCCATTTCAAAAGGAATTAGATTTTCAAAGCAGAAAAATAACAATCACAACAAGGCTTCAGATTTTTTCATATAATGTACACATGTCCTAGACAAAAACAGATTAATTCATTGGTCAATGCGATGTCACTTGATATAAAAATACATATAAAACATTTCAGACAAATTACATAAAGAAAATAAAGAAAATAATGATATATTTAATACCTTGAATATTTCATTAAGTCAGAAACAAGACAAGAGTCTCTCCTTAAAAATAACGAAGACACTACATCTGATGTTCAGAATGAACTGTTGTATTTACTATTTACTGTATGTACAGCAAAGTTCGTTCAGTACCGAATTCACGGATATACGGATATAAATTTAACTCATTCCTTATACGGATATAACGAATTAAGGATACAGCAGAGTAATTTTATAGGTTCCAGTAACTTTGTTATCACAGTGTTTTATTGTACCATGATAAGGGTTCACTATGAAAAGCATTTTTGTACAAGCAATATATAGTTAACATTTTCTACGTATCTACGAGGAATGTCCAGTAATATCGTGATGAAGTTTTTTGGATTGAAAAATTATCACTGCGTTCTGAAATTTTCACCACTCTTTAGTGAATTTTCTGTCAATATACATAGCAAATTTCAAATAGATATATGCATGAATAATCAATTTATGAGATTTTATGTGATGCGTTGTATCGAGTTACGGAGCATGGATGATACCAGAAAAGTGTCTAAAGCAGCGACACGTTCCTCTTCGCTAAAAAAAAGGGTTGGATGTCACTTGAATTTAAGAATTCCATCGATGCACATATATTAGTTTCCCTTTATTTCTGCAGAAACAGTCGAGGGACCATTATCGCGCACACATGTCATTGAGGCCTTCTGAAGAATTATTAGTAAGTTATGGACGGTATTCTCATCATCATTCAGCTACAGTGATAGCGTCTTTCACTATTACAATAACTGTTTCGCTGTATCTTTTGCTATACTTAAGTACTCAATCAAAAAGATTTCGCTAAGAAAACCCCAATTTCAATTGCATATTAAAAATCAGGTGATTTTTTTTTGCGTGGACCCTGCGGTCCACGCAAAAATATATAAGCGAGGTTAATCCGGATATATAAACCTGGGCAAACGACAGGTACGCATGCGCGAGAATGCTAGAGAGTTTGCACCTCAGGTAACTTGGCAACTGATGACAATAATTCGCCTTATTCGAATTAAAATATGGCATTCATAGGCAAATCGCGCTTTTAAATCTGCATATCGCCTTTACATATTCATTGGCAGATCCGATTTTCTCTCTTTCACTTTTACACACACTTTTATACATAAACTAAACATTGATTCTATTGTAAAAGTATTTCAAGAAGTTGCAGTATATAGATACATGTTACTTTACAACTTGAATGAAAATTGTCAGTCAACGACTTGTATTAGCTTTTGAAAGATAGAACAAGTTTTCACCGGCATTTATTTTGTTTTGCGCATCAAGACTCGCAAAATTATTTAATATTTCAGCAAACTAAATATCGTTTGATAAAGGTCTGTAGCAATGGCTTTTAATGTGTGTGAGGGGGAGGGGGGGGGGCTCCAACAAAATGAATCTGCATACTACAGAGCTGTGCTACTTGTGAACCATCAGATCTGTATTTTTCCCATGATAAATTTCTTTCGTATAAATCCAGTACAGGTGTCAAGCCCCAGCCAGTATGAGTTAAACGTATCAAAATAACCCGATTTTTTAAACTGACAAAACTAAAGGTCGCTAGTAGGAGATAGAATTTCACAATTTTGCTTTGAGACTACAATCAGTTATAAGTAGGCAGATCATTGTAGGAAAAGTGAACAAACCTACATGAATATTCCCTACACCTAGAAATTTTCTTAATCGAATTTTAATTAGAAAAAAAAAATGCATATGTTCCACGTATTGCAGTCCTTTTTTAAAGGACAGCAACTTGTTTTTTTATTTTTCGGTATTCATTCAAAGTCTTTAAGAGCGTAATCTACATAGAAATCAAACTGAACAGCTCTCCGGTGAACCTTAACCTCGCCATTTTTCTCGTGTTCTGTTTTCCACTTTTCCATTTTGAATGTTTGGGAAACTGCCAAATATAAAGCAAATGCCTTGAAAATTTCAAAAAAAAAAAAAAAAAAAAAAAAGAAGAAAAAGAAGGATTAAATATAATTATGATAGTTTTCATTTCAAACTTATATATTTAATACTTTTATTTCGAAATAAACTAGTGTAATCTCTAATAAACCTTTTTTATCGTGCGCCATAGGACCGTAACCTATGCACATTCAATCTATATATTTGTCTTTATTTTATAAAAAAAAAATTAGAATGTACTAAAATGTGATATATAAACCTTTGCTGAAAATTTCAGCTAAGTGTGTCCATTATTTTCCGCGAAAAACGCTTTGTGCACGAGTTTACCGGACAACCCTCGAATGTGTAGATCAACTGATGATAATTAATGCTAGTTCCAAAGTTTAAGATAGTCAAAGTTATAAGTTAATCTAAAGTTAAGTCACATATTGGACTTACTTTAAACTACGCTATTAATGGCTAAATTTTAATGCAAGATTGTGAACTGTATTTCACTGTTTAAACATGCCTTTGTTTCGTTAAATACATTTGAAACTTACTATTATAATAATATCCTTAGGGTTTTCTCATACCTGTTATTCCCATATGATGCACAAAAACTGATGAATTAATATTGCATATAGTATCAAATAATGTGATTAACTGCGCAAACTTTGAAAACAATTGATATATAATTTATGAATTATTAACAAATATTTCCACAGACAAATTAAGCAAAACTTACTATTCATAATAACTTACACAGAATGGTATTTTTTCAAAATGAAACATTTTTTACAAAGTTTTGTGACAAAACAATTCTTTTTTTTTTTTAAATTTGCTCCGATATTTAACTATACTTACCTACAAATGTTAAACAACTTCTTGATTTCTGTTGCAAACTTTTTGTCTAGGAATGCATAAATGACAGGATTTGCGATACTGTTTATGATGTACATTCGATAAACAAACAAAACACCAACTCTTGTAGAATCTGAAAGTTCCTCCCAGAACTTTGGATTCCTGGCTTCTAATAGCAAAAGAATAACCTTTGGAATATAACAGATGATGAAAATAACAGTTATAAGCATAAACATTAAGGTGAACTTATATACAACTGCCTGGTTTCGTTTTTGCTTTTCCTTTGGTGCACATCCTTTATGATGATTCGCAGTCTTTTCTATTGTCGTTCTTTTATTACAAACCTTCTTTGTCGTACTTGATGATACATGTACTTGAGAAATAGAATCGTTACCAGATAATTCTGTGCTGTCCGTCTTAACTGAATATGTTTTATTCTCACTATGTTGATCATCGTGGCTCGAAATTTGATTTTCTAACTTATAGATGCCGATTGAATTTTCTTCATCTGAGCAATTTTTCTTCCTGTTAATGGTCTTCGTTTTGTTGAAATGTAACATAATAGTATATCCTATTTTGGAATACAGGATAATTAGTGAAATTATGATTGTTATTGTTGCAATAAGAAGGAAGCCACCATGAATTAAGGAGAGTGTTTTATTGACTGTTTTTGAGGTGCTGCATTGCAATCCCACAATTCCTTCTTTCTTGTTTGGAAAGGATACTGAATCATAAAAATAGAGCATAGGTAAAGATAATGTTAATCCTATTATCGCAGCAAAGCATATTGAAAACTGTTTCCACTTTTTCGTCATTTGTTTTCCGAATGGTTTGCAGACCTTGCGATATCTGTGCACAGCAATGATCAGAAGAAATAACACGGAAGTGAAAACAAAAAACGGCACAAGAAATTTCATGGTTTTACATGCAAAGTTGTTGTCAAATTTCACTGGCATCATGTTGAGAGCTATTCCAAATGAAGAGCCAAGCAGGCAAGTGCATAAATCCACAGCGGCAAGGATTGGAATAAAATATCTCTCTTCCTTGTCACCTTTCATCAAAAAACCGTAGACAATAATAACTATGGAGTTGCCCAATAGTCCTATTAGTATGTAAAGAGACAAAACTACATTATCAAACATCAAATTTTCTGCCAGATCTCTGTTCCATATTTCCAATTTCTCCAAACTAGACGTGTTGTTATCCATTTCTTTTTCTTTGTTCTTAGTACAGGTTTGTTTAAAAATGATTTTTCTCAGTTTTAAATTCAGTGTTTATTATGGAGCGGAACTTCTAGTTGTACATTTATTTCAGTGACAAATTGAATAGCTTTTTAAAAAAGTGTTTTAATTGAAACAGAGTGTATAAAATCAAAGGCAGAAAACTTCCTTTCATTAACATTTTACTTTTTTAGTTTACCTTTTTAGTTGGTTTTTTTTTCTATTCTGTTGAACAAACAAAAATAAATTAACTAGTTTAAAAGTGTGGGTTTTGTCATTGCAATAAAAATTTAACTTTACTTTCTTGTCTTTATCTTGGTAAAATTTTTACCATACTTCTAAGTGTTCACCTAACATAATTTAAGTTATGAAGAACAAATGCATAAAATAGATAATTTCTTTCATTCATGGTTAATGATGTATAAATCAGTTCGATGTTGCGAAAATTCCATTTAAGTACTGTAAATCACTTTTTATTCGCGAGAACTTTATTTTCGCGTAATTACGCGAGACAATGCGTTCGCGAAAATTTAATTCTCGCGTAGAAATGTATTCCTTACGATTATATAGAGAAATAACAACTATTCGTGAAAATTATGTCTCGCTTACAAAGAGTCAATGACAATCTCGCGAAAATAAGGTGTCGCGAAAAATTAGTGATCTACAGTATCTCGCCAGACTTTAAACAAAGTGTCAAGGACATGATGTAACCTCAAAATGAAAATTCACATCAAATAATTGCCATAGAATAAGACCTCCAGTCCCTCTGGTTATTACAAGACATCCTTTTCTGATCGATACCATGTACCCTTTGAATAGGAGGTTGACCTATCTGCTGCGATACATACTACAGGGATCTTTCTAAACCGTTGAAATTGTTTGGAAAGAAGGGGGGTTGTGACATTCCTTTTAAAAGTCCCATACGTCAATAGGATTCAGATCCGGGGATTTGACAGACGAAGATCTAGATCACCCTCGGTTTGGTTTAATATTGCCCAAACTTACAAATTGTGAGTAATTTGACGATAAACAATGACGTCTAACCTAAAAAATGTGTTGAAATGGATTTTTATACCTGTTGTTTATTTTTTAAAGCAATATCAAGTACAAATAAACACTAAAATAAAGTTGAATAAAAGGTAAGGATGATTCAGATATTAACATACCAATGGCTCGCCCTTCTCCCTCAACGGTCATTTTGCCAATGTTTTCTGTATTTTAGTTATACCAGTTGTTAAAAATTGATAATGGTAGCAAAAAATGCTGATTATTCAATACACGTGCTGCAAAGTACAGAGTTATTGTTTTTAAGTTTTGTAACGGGGGTTTTAATCGGTGATAATTGATTTTCTGTCAACAATTGTTCAGAAGACTCATAGGTGATAATAAAAATATCATACTATTCTATCGTGCAGTTTTTAAAAAAATACATTTATAAGAGTAAACACTTAGAAGTTTGTTAAGAGTATTTTATGTAAAATTCGGATACCTAATATTGGAGACAAACTTTAATCCCTGGGCAATAATTAGCTCACCTGAGCGTTAAGGCTTGTGAGCTTATTTGATCATTTGCACGTGCACTGCATTCATAAAAATATGTTCCTTAAAAATAAATCAACAAAAATGATGTATACACAATATCTGCGAACAGCTGGTGAAGGGTAGGTGAATCTGACATTGTGAATATGATGTATATACGCGTAATGGAATAAAAGGAAATAAAAACGACAGACTTATGATTTATTAATTATATGTATTGACAAATATTTCTACAGGCAATTTAAACAAAGAGGACAAGTTCCTTATATAATAATATAGAATGCTTTTTATTTTTTCAGATTGTTTTTTTTTTTCAAAATAAAACAGTTTAAAAAGTCTTGTGACAAAACAATTCTTTTATTTACTCTGATCCTATCTACAAATGTTAAACAATATCTTGACCTCTGTTGCAAATTTGCTGTCTAAGAATGCATAAATGAAAGGATTTGCGATATTGTTTATGATGTACATTCGAGAAACAAACAAAACACCAACTCTTGTAGAATCTGTAAATTCCTCCCAGAACTTTGGATTCCTGGCTTCTAATAGCAAAATGATAACCTTTGGAATATAACAGATGAAGAAAATGACGGTTATAAGCATAACCATTAGAGTAAACTTATTAACAACTGCCCGGTTTCGTTTTTGCTTTTCCTGTGTTGCATTCTGATGATTTGCAGTCTGTTCATTTGTCGCTCTTTTATTACTACATTTCTTTGCCGTCCTTTGTATTTTCGCATTAAAATGGTTACCGGATAATTCTGTGCTATCCATCTTATCTGAATAGGTTTTAATTTCACAATGGTGATCACCTTGGCTCGAAATTGGATTCAGCAACTTAAAGATACCGATTGAATTTTTTACCTCTACAGAATTTTCCGTTTTATGTATGGTCCTATTTTTGTTAAAATGTAACATAATAGTATACCCTATATTGGAATACAGGATAATAAGTGAAATGATTATAGTGATCGTTGCAATAAGAAGGAAGCCATTGAAAATTAAGGACAGCGTTTTATTGGCAGTTTTTGCCGTGCTGCATTGACATCTTACAATCCCTTCCTCTGTGTTTGGGAAAGATACCGATCCATTGAAATAAAGCATTGGTGAAGATAATATTATCCCAACTGTTGAAGTTAAATTGAAAACTGTTTCCATTTCAGTGTCATTTGTTTTCCGAATGGTTTACAGACCTTGCGATATCTGTGCACAGCAATGATCAAAAGAAATAACACTGAAGTGAAAGTAAAACACGGCACAAGAAACTTCAAACTTTTACATGCAAAATTATTTTAAAACATTGAGAGAAATTCCAAAAGAAGAATTAATAACACTAGAGCATAGGTCCACACAAGCAAGGAACGGAATAAAATATCTCTCTTCCTTGTCACCTTTCATCAATAAACCGTAGACAAGAATAACTGTGGAGTTACCTAACAGTCCTACGATGAGATAAAGAGATAATACCACACTATCAAACATCAAACCTTCAGCCAGTTCACTGTTCCAAATCTCCAATTTCTCCAAACTAGACGTGTCATTATCCATCTCTTTTGTTCAGTTTCTTAGAACTGTTTTCTGTTTAAAAAGTTATTTTACTTTGTTTTTAATTCAGTAACTACGTACTTTTAAACGGAACGTCACGTTATACATTTACCTCAGTGATAAAGTGAATTACTCTTAACAAGTGTTTAAATTGAAGCTGAGTATATAAAATCAAAGGCAGAAAACTTCCTTTTCATTAATATTTTACTTTGTTACCTTATCTTAAGTTTTAGTTTTATATATTGAACGTGAACGAACAAAAAGAAATTATCTACTACAATGTCATCTTTTTCTCAAGAAACCACGGGTTCAATTTCAGCAAAACTTTGCACAAAGCTCGAGTATTCTTGGATCAGGGTGTTTTTGATACTTTGTACAAAATACCCGTGAACTCTGTTTTAACTAATTTCATTAAAAAAAAGTACACTAGGTTTAGAATTATGTCACTATAATGTCGATAATCAAGGGTCTCTGTAAGAAAAAAAGGGAATTTTTATCCGCAAAAAATAAAAATGAATAAATAAATAAAATAAATAAAAAAGAAACGTATCCTATAAATTGGTCATACTGCATTTCTGTATTCGTGTTCATGCCATCTATATGACAGTTGTTATTAAATGCAATGTAACTTTTGTTATTTTATTATATAGATCTGATATATGGAAACCTTTAGAAGAATTCATTTTTTTTTTCAAATATGGTCAGTGTCATATAAAGATGTCAAAGATAAACTGTAGTGATTTCATTCACTGGATATCTTTTAAATCGCCAAAATATTATAACTTGTTTTAGATTTACTAATTTAGACAATTTTAATCTAGGTTTCATTTAATTTATTCCGTTTATTTTGCGTAAAAGTAGAATTTAACAATTTCTGTCAAAAGACGTAAAGTGGAGAATATTAACATATAACTTTTCAATAATGTTCTATCTTTACATTCTATTTTTTCAAAATAAACCAAAGTTAGTAGCAAAAAGTTGTCTTTATTAAGATCATCAATTTTTTTTTTTAAAATATATCAATTTGTATTTTAATATAATGCTTATTATCAGATCTAATATTTGATACCATAATCTTCTTACAAGGGGCTGATAAGCCATATTTAAACTTAGACGTCAAAAATATATGATTGAATTTCTTTCAAATTACGTATAAAGAGATATTGGTATCCTAGAACAAATAAGAAAGTTTCGGTGAAGTTGAATTTAAGGGAAATTTGACCTTCCTCTGTATTTATTGAAGCCTAGAATATTTTGATAATTTAGGCAATTTATTTGTTTTTAGTGTTCCAGTGCAACTACAATGTATGTCGAACTTTGATTTTAAGATTTAGTCATGAATATGCTAAAAACAAACAAACAAACAATGTGAACATTAATAATCAGTCTGAAATATTATCAAATTTTCTATCACTTCCTGAACATGTCGTTTTAAGTAATACATTTTTTTGTAAATGTAAGAAGCTTCCTTAATTTATTGTTATAAAAATTACCTAAGGCCATTTAAAAATAATGTGTTTTTTCCTTCTTCACACTGAGGATTAAAAAAGTATCAGTGTGCAGTCAGTGAAATCCCTCAACCTGCCCCACAAAAACTTTCAATATGTATGCTTAATTAAGGTGATCAATTTAAATTAAAGGTATTGATAAAATTGAAATAATGTCATTCAATTTTTTTTTTGGTTTGAAAATTGTAAATTTTCTTTATAATTTTACATGAATTAAAATTATTTCAAATCTAATTTAAAAATTGTTGATAGTTAAATTAATGTTTTTCGTTCACCGTTTTATCTGAAAAAAAAACACACACACACAAAGGAATTAAATATTTTTATTGGCAGGTAATGAGAAGAAGCTGTCTTGCAAAGTAAGGCTACGTAATTACAATGGAGTATTAAATTGTATTATTTTTCCTTTATTAAAATAATGATCAATTGCAAATCATGAACTAAGGCTTTTTACAAATGTAAAACATTAAACATAACACTGGAGTTTAATTGTACAATCATATATGTAGCAGCTTATTATTGAAAACAAGGTTAGACTCAATATAGATATAATCTATTAATTATTGATAAATATCTTTAAACAGTTATCAATATCTGAAATATTCTTTTCCATTAATAAGTAATAGTGAAAAAATTATATTCATTAATAAATCTGTACATTATTTTCTTATACAAACTTTAAACAACTTCTTAATTTCTTTGGCAAACTTCTTGTCAAGGAATGCATATATAAATGGATTTGTGATATTGTTTATGATGTACATTCTGTACACAAACAAAACGCCAGTTCTTGTAGAATCTGAAAGTTCCTCCCAGAATTTCGGATTGCTGGCTTCGAACATGATAATAATGACTTTAGGAATATAACAGATGAGGAATATGGCTGTTATGAGCATGAACATCAGGGTAAATTTGTACACCACTATCCGATTGTGTTTTCCCTTTCGACGTCGTCCTCTTGTCTTACAGCGGTTATCGTTACCTTGAGCTGTTGTTCTCGTATCACAGTCTTTCTTTGTTGTCTGTACAGATGTATGGGGAGAATACATACTGGATAACACAGCGTTGTCCGTTTCCGCAGAACAGTAACCGGATAGATCCGTGTTGTCCGTCTGAATGGTATAGTTTTTGTCCTTCTCGTCGCAAAGTGGATCTTCGTGGCTCGAGATTCTTTTCCGAGACTTATCGACATCGGTCGAATTTTCCATCTCTGGATGAATTTTATTTCCGTTAATAGTTTTGGTGTTTCTGAAATGTATCAGAATTGTGTATCCTATTTTTGAATACATAATAACTAGTGAAAGAATAATTGCAACTGTCGCAATGACCAAGAGGCCCCCAAAAATCAAAGACAATGTTTTATTGGCAGATTTTGACCTGCTGCATCTCAAACCAACGATTCCTTTTTCGGTGTTTGGAAAGGACACTACTCCGTGAAAATAAATCATAGGTAAAGAAAATATTAGAGACGTTATCAAACTCAAGCACATTGCAAATTGTTTCCACCTTAACGTCATCTGCTTTCCAAATGGTTTGCAGACTTTGAGATATCTGTGCACAGCAATGATTAACAGAAATAAAATAGAGCTAAAAGTAAAAAGCGGTCCAAGGAATTGCATCGTTTTACATGCAAAATTGTTTTCAAACGTCGCCTGCATCATATTGTTAGCAATTCCGGAAGAAGCGCAAACGAGACAAGCACATAGATCCACAGCGGCAAGGAACGGAATAAAATACCGCTCTTCTTTGTCGCTTTTCATGATAAAGCTGTAGATAATGATAACAGTAGAATTTCCCAAAAGCCCTACTATTATAAACAGAGACAATATCACAGTATTCGAAATTAACCTATCTGCTAGCTCTCTATTCCAAACTTCCAATTTCTCCGGGATATATGTTACGTTATCCATTAATGCTTTCGTATTTTGGATCACTGTAGTCTCTTTGAATTCTTCAAATTAATGTGTTTCGATTAAAACTGTATAACTTTTCCTATAGACCACATTAAACCGCTTTGAAAAAATAAAACTTGAAATACATTGTCCGATAATATATTCGGAGTTACTTCGAATAATGAAAGACATAAAATCTTCCCTTTTCATTTACTTATTACTGCATCAATTCATCAAACATACAAAAACTTCCTTTTTGTTTATCTTTTACATTGTCTATTTATCAGGCGCAAAAAATGCTTCCTTTATTTTATATTTCTAACTTCCAGCTTTATTTTCTAGTTTGTCCATTTATTTAACCATCAGAATCATATCAGTTAGAGATTTTCTTATGTACAATTAACTTGAAATCAAGAACCCCGTACTCTACTGTAATTTACGCAAGAAGGAACAAAGTGTGAAAACCTCCTTATGAGACAAAATATTGTTTTTAAGTGATAACATAATTATATAAAGAATCTAAACGTAAATCTAATTATGAAGGTATAATGTAAGTCAAAGTATAGAAACCTTCATAGTTTTGAATTAATCAAAATCCAATTTTATGCTGCATTTCATGTTTGTATTTTCATTGTCCCTTGGTTGCTAAACTTTAATTCTCTCTGGATGACAATTACTCAGATGGCCAAGCTATTCCTGTACACTTGTACACTTTGAATAGTTTATCACATTTTCAAATAAACGAGAAACAGAATTCTTTTGGTATCTGATTTCGAAATGCACGTTAATTTTCAATTTGAGTGAATCGTGGTAAATAAGCATATTTTTAAAGCAATTAAATATTAATAAAACGAACAGTGCAATAGCACACAAAAGTCCACTGAGACAATACAAATTACGAGGAGAGCGAACACAGACCTCTGAAACCAACAGAGACAGGATCAAGAACAACGGGAGAGCGAACACAGACCTCTGAAACCAAGAGAGACAGGATCAAGAACAACGGGAGAGCGAACACAGACCTCTGAAACCAACAGAGACAGGATCAAGAACAATAGGAGAGCGAACACAGACCTCTGAAACCAACAGAGACAGGATCAAGAACAACGGGAGAGCGAAAACAGACCTCTGAAACCACCAGAAACAGGATCAAGAACAACGGGAGAGCGAACACAGACCTCTGACACCAAGAGAGGCAGGATCAAGAACAACGAGAGAGCGAGTGTCCCCTGTCGACCGGTCATGCGATCCTTGTATTCGGATAAACATGGAAAACCGTAACCGTAAACAACGGGAGAGCGAACACAGACCTCTGACACCAAGAGAGGCAGGATCAAGAACAACGGGAGAGCGAGAATCCCCTGTCGACCGGTCATGCGATCCTTGTATTCGGATAAACATGGAAAACCGTAATCAGTATGGAAATAAGTGTCTCTCTTAAGACAATGAGGACATTGTGGATGTGACCGGTTGGCAGGGGATGCTCATGACACCTAATGCTACCTTTTGAATGTGTGAGTCTGTTCTGCTCCAGATGTGTATTGCATAATTGCACTTTGAGCTTGAATAGTGTTTATTATTTCCATATTTCAACAAAATTGAAATAAAAATTGTAAAAATATTTCGTAATCAATTCTTCTCTTTTTCCCTTATTGACAAATATTTCTAGACAAATTAAGCAAAACTGACTATTCAAAAACATTTCACAAAGTCTTGTGGCAAAACAAATCTTTCTTTTTACTTGCTCTAGTATTTAACTACGCTTACCTACAAATGTTAAACAACTTCTTGATTGATTTCTGTTGTTCTTTTTGTCCAGGAATGCATAAATAAACGGATTTGCGATAATCAATGATGAATATTCTATAAACAAACAGAACACCAATTCTTCTAGATTCTGAAAGTTCCTCCAGAATTTTGAATTCCTGGCTTCTAATAGCAAAAGAATAACCTTTTGAATATAACAGATGAAGAAAATGACTGTTATAGGTATAAACATTAAGGCTAATTTATTTACAACTGCCTGATATCGTTTTTGCTTTTCCTCTGTTGCACATCCTTGATGATAATTTGCAGTCTCTTCAAATGTCGACCTTTTATTAGACCTCTTTGTATTTCTTGGGGATACACGTACCAAAATAGAATGGTTATCAGATAATTCTGTGGTATCAATCTTAACTGAATAGGTATTACTCTCACTATTTTGATCACCTTGGCTCGAAAGTGGTGTCTGCAACTTATATATGCCGATTGAATTTTCTTTCTTAATGGAATTCTTCTTCTGGCCTTTGTTTTGTTGAAAAATAACATGAAAGTACACCTCTACCGAATACAGGATAATTAATGAAATTATGATTGTGATTGTTGCAATAAGGAGGAATATTCCAAAAATTTAGAGAGCGTTTTATTGGCAGTTTTTCACGGGCTGCATCCCACAATTCCTTCTTCTGTGTTTGGAAAGGACTCTGATCCGTGAAAATTAAAGCATAGGTAAAGATAATATTATCCCTATTATTGAAGCGAAACACATTGAAAACTGTTTTTATTTCAGTGTCATTTGTTTTCCGAATGGTTTACAGACCTTGTGATATCTGTGCACAGCAATGATCAAAAGAAATAACACTGAAGTAAAAGTAAAACACGGCACAAGAAACTTCAAACTTTTACATGCAAAATTATTTTCAAATCTTGCAGGTAACACATTGAGAGAAATTCCAAAAGAAGAATTAATAACAGTAGAGCATAGATCCACAGCAGCAAGGAACGGAATAAAATATCTCTCTTCCTTGTCACCTTTCATCAATAAACCGTAGACAAGAATAACTGTGGAGTTGCCTAACAGTCCTACGATGAGATAAAGAGACAATACCACACCATCAAACATCAAACCTTCAGCCAGCTCTCTGTTCCAAATCTCCAATTTCTCCAAACTCGACGTGTCATTATCCATCTCTTTTGCTTAGTTTCTTAGCCCTGCTCTCTGTTTAAAAGTTATTTTACTTGGTTTTAAATTCAGTAACTACGTACTTTTAAAGGGAATGTCAAGTTATACATTTACCTCAGTGATAAAGTGAATTACTCTTAACTAGTGTTTAAATTGAAGCTTAGTATATAAAATCAAAGGCAGAAAACTTCCTTTTCATTAGTATTTTACTTTGTTAGCTTATCTTAAGTTTTAGTTTTTTCATTAAATTGAACGAACAAAAGGAAGTTATCTACTGAAATTTCATCTTTTTCTCCAGAAACCACGGGTTCAATTTCCGCAAAACTTTGCACAAAGCTCAAGTATTCTTGGATTAAGTGTTTTCAATACTTTGTACAAAATACCTACGAACTCTGTTTTAACTAATTTCATAAAAAATACACTAGGTTAAGAATTATGTCACTATATTGTCGATAATCTAAGGTCTCTGTAAGAAAAAAAGTGATCAATTATTATCCGCAAAAAATGAAAATGAATGAATAAATAAAATAAACAAAAAGGAAACGTATCCTATAAATTGGTCATACTGCATTTCTGTATTTATGTTCAGGCCATCTACACGCCATGTGACCTCTGTTATTTAATGCAATGTAACTTTTGGTTCATTTATTATACAGGTCTGATATAAGGAAGCCTTTAGAAGAATTCATTTTTTCCCAAGTATGGTCAGTTTCATATAAAGAGGTCAAAGGTAAACTGTAGTGATTTCATCTGAATATTCACTGAATATCTTTTAAATCGCCAAAATATTATAGCTTGGTTTAATTTTACTAATTTGGACAATTTTAATCTAGGTTTCATTTCATTTATTCCGTTTATTTTGTGTAAAAGTAGAATTTAACATTTTCTGTCAAAAGACATAAAGTGGAGAATATTAACATATAACTTTTCAATAATGTTCTATTTTTACATTCTATTTTTTCAAAATAAACCAAAATCAATATATTTATTTAAAGTAAGTAACAAAAAGTTGTCTTTATCAACATCATCAAACAATTATTTTTCAATATGTCAATTTGTAATTTGATATAATGCTTATTATCAGATCTAATATTTGATACCACAATCTTCTTTCAAGGGTCTGATAAGCCATATTTTAAACTTAGACGTCGAAAATATATTATTGAATTTCTTTCAAATTACATATAAAGAGATATTAGTATTCTAGAACATAGATGAAAGTTTCAGTGAAGTTCAATTTGAGGGGAATTTTCAACTTCCTCTGTATTCATTGAAGCCTATGATATTTTGATAATTTAGGCAATTCATTTTGTTTTTTTTAGGGTTCCAGTGCAACTACAGTGTATGTTAAACTTTGATTTTAAGATTTAGTCATGAATATGCTAAAAAAACAATGTGAACATTAATAATCAGTCTGAAGTCTCATCAAATTTTTCTATCACTTCCTGAATATGTCGTTTTAAGTAATACATTTTTTTGTAAATGTAAGAAGCTTCCTTAATTTATTATTTAAAATTACCTTAGGTTATTTAAAAATAATGTGTTTTTCCTTCTTCCGACTGAGGATAAAAAGTATCAGTGTTTCAGGTTAGTGGAATCCCCTACCCTACCCCACGAAATCTTTCAATATGTACATGTATGCTTAATTCCCGTGATCAATTTAAAATAAAGGTATTGATAGAATTACATAATGTAAGATAATGTCGTTCAATTTTTTTTAGTTGGAAAAATGTAAATTTTCTTTATGATTTGACATGAAGTTTCATTTTATTTTCACGTATTTCAAATTATTTCAAATCTAATTAAAAAAAAGTGTTCACAGTTCATCTGAAAAACACACACACACACACAAAAGAATTAACTATTTTTATTAGCAGATACAATGCACATGAGTTAAACATGTAGCTGTCTTGAGAAGTTAGGCTACTTAATTACAATGGAATATTAAATTGATTAAATTGTATTATTTTTTCCTCTATTCAAATCGTGATCAGTTACAAATCATGAACTAAGGTCTTTTTTCAAATGTAAAACATTTAACATAAAACTGGATTTTAATTGTACAATCATTATAGCAGCAGCTTA